ACATTTTTGAACTGGTTACCGAGTTCCATGACAACCTGGGTACCATCGGCACTGTTGGGGCTCCAATGCGGCAAAGATTTGCTACCATTGTACGAGCCGCCATTGTTGGGGTTGAGGGTCTTCGCAAAGTTGGCCCAGTAGGACGACATCTTCTCTTGGATCTCAAAGTCGATCTTGGTGAAAGCGTACGTATCGGAATTGGCGTAGAGAGCGCCCAGCGCATACATGATCTCAGATTGGTGGAAGGCACCTTGGTTCTGGCTTGGGGGCGCATGGGTCCAGTAGTAGGTGTAGAAGTGCGCAGTGGCAGACTTGTACCAGTCAGTGGCGTAGGCCCACGAGCCGACAAGAGAGAGATCACGGGCAGCAGCGCTCCAGGCTCGAGAGGCAATGGTATCGTTGTTGTGGTCGGGGTAGAGCTTGAAGTATTCGCTGGAGAGGTTGCCGTACTTGAGTCCACAGTAGTACTCGTACTCCTCAACGGTGTAGTCGGTGTTGGGGGAGGCACCAGATTCGTCCTTGGTGTTACCAGTAATCACCGGGACATCGTTGGCAGGGCCATTGATCAGGGTTTCGATGTACTTGGATGGGAGCACGTAGTCGTCCAGAACGGGCTTGAATATCAGAGGATAACCAGCAGAGAGTGCGGTGACCCACCAAATGGTGCTGTTGGTGACACGGTCTGAGGAACCAACTAGTAAGCTCTCCATGGAGAGCGTGCGCATCTCCTCAATTGTAGAAACGTTGTGGGCCTTGATGTAGCTAGCGCCATTGGAGATAGCAGTAGACATGTTGACGTACGAGGTGGCAAGGCCAGCCAGCATGGTATCGTAGGGGTATCTAATCCCAGACTGGGAGATACCACCGTGGAAGTAGCCCGTGAAGAGAGGGCTGTTGACCGCATGGTAAACTTGAGAAGAGCCGAAAGACTGACCAGCAACGGTGACGCGGTCAGGATCACCACCAAATTTGGCAATATTCTTCTGCACCCACTTGAGAACTTCCAGTTGATCCAAAACACCGTAATTGCCAGAGGTCTTATGACCAGTAAGCTTGTAGCCTTCTTCGTTGAGTTCAGGGGCAGCGAGATAGCCGAATGCATCATCACGGCGGTTGAAGGTGATGAGAATGACATCCTTCAAGGCCATGCCACCACCGTACCACCACTCGTTGTTACTGGTTTCGTCGGAACCCTGGTTCCAAACCATGACAGGAAGTTTGGCACCAGCGGTCTTAGCGTTGGTCCAGACGTTGAGACTGAGGCAGTCTTCGCTAATGTCGGAAGCCGAGGCACTAGGACAGGCAGGGCCAAAGTCCGTGGCCTTCAAGGTCTTGTTCCATGACTCGCGGGGCTGCGGTGCCTTCCACCGGTTCTGATATCCTGTATCGGCAGCGAAAGGAATACCCAAGAAAGCGGCAACGTTGGACTCGGCGCCATCAAAGTACTTATCCAGGGTGGACTGGTTAAAGTACTGGAACCCCTCGACGGGACCGTAGGAGGTTTGGATGACCTTGTCCCAAAGCTGGGCTTGGGCGACAGCAGCACCCAGGGCCAATGAGGCCAGAGTCTTGGTCAGGAAAGCCATAATGGTTGGATCCCTGTGAAAAAGAAGATTGAAGCGATTGAAAACCCGAAGCACAAGGCCAGGAGTTGAGGAATCAAGGATCTTTTTATATCTAGGTAAGCTTCTTCACCTGCGTAATCGACGTACGTACCAGTCCAACGGTTTACGCAGCAAACCTACCTCGTTGACTGGTGCCTCAGTATCTGATCTAGTAAATCTCGGGCCTTGCAGAGTCGGCCTTGGTTTCTGCATTGGGTTAAGGCTATGACGATCATCTTGAAGTCGTCTCCACCTCTGGAACGCGGACGTAAGTCGGGCAATTTCCGAGATATTCTTGTTTCTTGCAGAAGTAAAGCGGATTCTTGAAGTAGAGAATTGGGAATGAGCTCGGTGTTTATGGCTGAGGCCCGACCCGGGATTCGGGTGACTGACAGGGACAAGTCGAATCTAATAATCATGATGGATACACCCTTGGGTTTCTCCGTCAGGCATGGCACCATTACACCCACATCGATATAACAAGTATAACATTGATAGGGACCCTGTGGAGAAGGTGCTATCCTTCATTTAGTAGAAGGAGAGACTTATAGGATAATGGTCTTGTCCACGGGTACGGGTCTCTTTGCTTGTCAAGCAAAAGGAAAGATGAAAAAAAAAAAAAAAAGATGACCCATGCCCCAATTACTCCCGGCGCAGGATCGAAACCCTGACCAGTTTCACCATTAACTGGGATCCCCAATGCGGTATCACCCGTGCTCGTTGTTTCACCCAGTAATCAGATGGCCTTGTGTCTCTCACCCACTCAGCCACCCAGGGAGGATTCTGGCCGACTACCTTGCACTGGGGTCAAATAGACTGAATCCCATTGTTTGTGCCATATACAATTCTACTCCAACTGCCTCCACTGATAGAATCCATGGATATATAACCACCCTTTGGGCTCTATACCTTAGTCTGCTTTGTTTTATACTGCCCAGCTGTGTCATGTATATCATGTGAAACATTTATTTGCCTGTACTTCCCAATTGGCACTTCACAATATATCCAAGCCTCAAGAATTGCCTAGCAATTTGAAAAAGAGACAAAGAAATAAGACCATAACGTCAGTGCCATACTTCCCCTACTTCCCCCATACTTGCATTAATGCGGGGAGATCACGTGGGTAGCATCGGTTAGCATCGGCGTGCGGGCAGAACAGTCGATGTTCGAGTGCCAAATAAAATAGACACAATGCTCCCTTTCTCTTCAGGAATTTTAAAAAACATTCTTTTGAATTTGTCTCTACCACCGTTCCCTTTTTATCATGAGTTTCAGCCGCAGCGGGGGACTCACTGCCCGCAACTTCAGGCCTTGTCTACCCCAGAATCGCCTCCGCATTCGCTCCACCCTACCTCCGCTCTTGTCCCGGAGATTCCACGCCAGCTCTCTGCTATGGGGGATCAAATCACAAGTTCTGAAGGATGTCGGCGAGGGTAATTTATATCTTATTCCTACTTCATTTCTCAATTTATTCACTTACAATTACTAGGCATCACGGAAGTCCAGATCATTCAATGGTATGTGGAAGAAGGGGCTCATATTGAGGAATGGAAGCCCTTGTGCCAATATCAGTCGGATAAAGCTGTCGATGATGTGAGTGCTAGCTTCCTTGTTCCCTTATTATAGGTTAATGGCTAACGAACCCAGATTACTTCGAGATATGAGGGCGTTATCAAGAAACTACATTTCGAGACAGATGACACAGTGCCTACGGGAAGGGTGTGTACTACCTTCACTCCCGCCCACCTGGCATTCACACTGCAATTACCATACTAACAGGCTTGCGTAGGCACTCTGCGACATCGAAGTTGCAGATGGAAAATACCCCGATGATAACCCGCCGCCTGAATCAAGGGCAGCGCCGTCTGAACCTACCCCAGCCTCTGAGGTCCCAGCTGCAACTCTAGCACCCGAGTCCTCTCTAATAACCCCTCCTCCTATCAAAGTTCTGGACGAGACACCCAAGACAAAGCATGCATCTCTTGCAGTACCCGCAGTACGCGGGCTATTGAAGAGCCACAGCGTGAACATCCTCGAAGTCAACGGAACCGGCAAAGACGGGCGGGTGATGAAAGAAGACGTACTGAAGTTCGTTGCAGAGAGAGATTCTCCAGCGGTTCCAACATCAGTGCCCGCCCCAGTCTCCATGTCACCAGACACACGGCAAGCAGAGTCAATTGTCAACTTGACCCCGATGCAGTCACAGATGTTCAAGACAATGACCAAATCCCTGAACACCCCACACTTCCTCTACGCAGACGAACTCAAAGTCAACGACATCACCGCCATCCGCAAGAAACTCGCCAGCGACAAACGCGATCCTACCAAAATCACATTCCTCCCCTTCGTCGTCAAGGCCGTCTCACAAGCTCTGACCGAGTTCCCAATCCTCAACTCGAAAGTCGATACCACCGACCCCGCAAAGCCCAAGCTAGTCATGCGCGCCAAGCACAATATCGGAATTGCTATGGATACACCGAATGGGCTGATTGTTCCGAACATCAAGGACGTCGCCAGCCGCTCGATCGTCGACATTGCCGCTGAGATCGCGCGGCTCAGTGCCCTTGGTAACGCCGGCAAGTTGACGCCCGCTGATCTCAGTGGTGGCACTATCACCGTGTCGAATATCGGAGGTATCGGAGGTACATATGTGGCTCCGGTGATTGTGCCAACGGAGGTGGCTATTCTTGGCGTGGGTAGGTCTAGAGCTGTGCCGGTCTTTGATGAGGACGGACAGGTTACACGCGGGGATATGGTTAACTTCAGTTGGAGCGCGGACCACCGTGTCATTGATGGTGCGACAATGGCGAGGATGGGTAACAGGGTTAAGGACCTAGTTGAGTCGCCAGAGCTTATGCTTCTAAATCTCAGGTGAATTGGATAAATCACCTCTTGATAAACTATTTAGTTGCATCTAAATAAAAACAAATTGTGGTACATCTTAAGACACTGTGTACTTGGTTCATCTAATTTACTAGCTCCGATATATTATAGATTGAGCTACTTAGTACCTCGTACAGAGAAAACGAAAAGATGAAAAAAGATGTAGACAGGTCAATTGATATGAAAGTCCACACTTAAACAAAGGATATCGCGAAGCCTGCCAAGCCAGACAGTTGATATATCAAAACAGCACAAAACAGAAGCCCGAGATGCGAGCTTCAAGAACGCCAGATCTAAAACAGACCGGTGACATAGCCAAGCCGGCCAAAACACCAAACACCATTGGGAGGAACAACAAAATCAACAATCAACAGAAAAGAAACAAAATGCTAAACAATCCTCCATGCATAAATCATACCCATTTTGGGACAGCAATGGGACATCACCGACAATCCCACCAAGTAAAAAGTAAACTCACTCCCATCAATCTAAGGAAAGACAGAGACAAATCAATCACTTATACTCAGCAAGTTTATCAGTAACAGCATCAATAACATTCCGCTGCACCTCCTCCATGGTACCCTCAACATTGATAGTAATAGCATCCCACTCGCCCTTAGGCTCCTCAAGCGCCGCAAGCTGCGAGTGCACCATGCCGCTCTTCATGTAGTGTGATTCGCGCTGTGTGACACGGTGCATGAGCACATCTTCATTGAGCTTGAGGTAGACGAAGTGGATCTGCACCGAGGGCGAGCCGTACGCAGCGACGCGCATCACATCCCGGTACTTCTGCTTCAGCGCAGAGCAAGCTACCACCACGCCGGCGGGTGGGTGGAATTTGTTGGGTTCCGAGGGGGAGAGCGCATCGATTGCTGCCTGGCGCAGGGAGATCAGCCAGTCCCAGCGGTCTTCGTCTGTGAGTGGTATGCCTTTGCCCATTTTTTCTTTGTTTGCCACTGGGTGGTACTGGGGGTTTTGTTAGTTATTTGTGTATACATTTTGGAGTATTTTTCCGGGGTTATTGGGTTTGGGCGCAATTGGATGGTTGGAGGGTGTGTGTGTGTGTGTCTGGTGCGTTCAGGTACTTGGGTACTTACATCGTCGCCTTCTAGGAATGGGATGTCGAGCTCGGTGCGTAGGACGTTGCCGACGGTGCTCTTTCCGCATCCTGCTGGACCGGTCACGACCCAGATATGTTGCATTTGCGCGGGTTTGGAGGGTGTGGAGAGTGTGGAGGTTGTTACTCCGTTGGTTCCATTGGCGAGGTCCGGCATGATACGCGTCTTGCTCACGGCGGAATCTACTATGGTGGGAGCGTGAGGAGGCTGGGGTCGTTCTCCGGCGGAGAGCATGATGTAGAGAGGAAAGGAATGTGTTGATTTTTGGGGGAGAAATGGAGAGATGCTCTCTTTTGGATTTCCAGTGTAATAGTTTGGGTCGGAGTGGAGATATGACGCTGTGGTGATACACGGATAAAGTGTTCTATAACAGGTCTATAAGATTTTATTCAGAGAAATAAAAGTTTCAGAAATAAAAGCGCGAGCCTGCTTTTCTAAGTACTTATATTGTATCACAGTGGGTCGGGTAAGAAATTCAAACAGAAGCCGAGTGGGGGGAGACAACATCCGTACGGTTATTGGTTCTTTATATTTAAGGGGGGTTAGGCTAATTTGGATATCTTCAAACTATACCCGGGGAAGGTGAATAGCCGACCAGGTTCAGGGATATAAGATTATGTGTAACCATCCTTTTCTACTTATACTTTGCTATATTAACTGTCTAATTGATTCCTCCGTACACATCCATCAAATACATCCATAAAATACACACACAAATATCCTCATGATGTCACGGTATTTGGTACGGTAACTCACCCCCACGCTAGAAAGACACCGCCAGTTTTGATCCATCTCCTTCTCCTATCCCTCTCTGAATTTGAGTGGAATTTTGTATTGATCCCACTAATACCTGCGTCATTCCACGGTTCTTTATCTCCCACCTGTCCCGTGCCGAACAACACTCCGAGTAAGTCGAAACCGAGAGACGGCCCCCCACACTTTTGGGAGATTCGCAGATCCACCCGATTCTTGAAAGATCGTACACAGATTGCCGATACTCAATTCCGTGAAAACACAGGGGAGACAAAAATTCTGAGGGATATAGTCTCATCCGATAGGACACAACGTTGGAATGACACGAAAATATGAGTAGGAATATGCATGGTGATTCCCTAAAGTCACACCGATTGTACCTAGGTGTGCCTGGTACGCATGACCAGACCGTTGCTTTCCCCTCAGAATCCGGGGAAGAAGGGAACTTCCGGCGGGGTAAACGAGTCGGATCCTTGCTTGGACAGGAGGTGAATTTCCGCTGGTTTTATCTGTGGTCATGAGGGAAGCTGACTGACGGGAAGCGGATTCCGACATATCCGATCTCCTCCTGCTTATTCGGTGTAGTTTAGAGGGTGTGCTGAGCCCTGATCCGTATGGCTAATTTGTATCTGGACGGTTAAAAGACAGCGAATACGGGCTTCAGGTCCAATCGGTGGAAAATGTTGAGGCCCTGTCAATCTGACCTGTCTGAAGAAGCCTACGGAGTCCAAAGTCCAACGGGTAGTTGTAGATCAGTGGCATCACCTTTGATGTTGGTTCCAGAACTAACATCGGAAGAGACCAAATGGAGCTAAATATGAAAAGAGTATCGAATATCGTATATAGGCACTTATTCAGATCTTATACTCCAATCACCAGTTCTATGCAAAATTATGTCGAATATCAGTCCATGGGGGCGGGGCCGGGAGGCGGTATTACATAAGCCATCTCCAGGCCACCGCGACAGCTCCAGATCATCAAAGCTCCGACTTATTGGTTCGGGCCTCGATAGCTGCAGCCTCAATTACCTCCACTATGGCTTCGCTCTTCTTCTCCACCCCGGTCGACATCGATGTGGTCCTCGAGGACCTCGATGAGCGCCAGACCGTCGACGTCAAGCTCGACAAGGGCCGCCGCGAGCGGGTCCCTCTGTACATGGACGGCGAGTCCGTCAAGGGCGCCGTGACCATCAGACCGAAGGATGGCAAGCGACTGGAACACACGGGGATCAAGGTGCAATTTATTGGCACGATTGGTGCGTAGGACCTACCACCCAGCCTCTCCCGGCTGAATTCGCCATCGCAGACTGGCCGCTAACACCTTTCTATTTCGGAATACAGAGATGTTCTACGACCGAGGCAACCATTATGAATTCCTTTCCCTGGTCCAGGAGCTCGCCGCGCCCGGTGAGCTGCTTCACCCGCAGACCTTCCCCTTCAATTTCAAGAACGTCGAAAAGCAATACGAGTCTTACAATGGCATCAACGTCAAGCTGCGCTACTTTGTCCGGGTAACCGTCTCGCGGCGCATGGCGGATGTCATTCGGGAAAAGGACTTGTGGGTGTACTCGTACCGCATGCCACCTGAGAATAATAGCCCCATCAAGATGGACGTCGGTATCGAGGACTGCCTGCATATCGAATTCGAATACTCCAAATCCAAGTATCATCTCAAGGATGTGATTGTTGGCCGCATCTATTTCTTGCTCGTGCGGCTCAAGATCAAGCATATGGAATTGTCTATCATTCGGCGGGAGACAACGGGATCCCCGCCAAACCAATATAACGAGAGTGAGACTTTGGTGCGCTTTGAGGTATGTGGTTTATTGAATACACTTGACGTGATATTGGGATATGAAATACAGACCATAAGAATGCTAACTTGCGTGCAGATTATGGACGGTTCGCCATCGAGAGGTTAGTGAACAGCTCGAAAACTTTGAACCCCGCCACGGCCACCAACCCACGGACTTGATGATTCTCGCGAGGGTTGGCAAGCTTGGGGTAATCTTGAGCATAGCTGACTTTCCATAGGTGAAACCATTCCAATTCGTCTGTTCCTTGGTGGATTTGACTTGACGCCGACATTCCGCGACGTTAACAAGAAGTACTCGACAAGGTACTATCTCAGTCTCGTGCTGATTGACGAAGGTACGTCCTAATTACCCCATTCTTTCTCCATTCTTTCTCCATCCTTGGCAATCCTCAAATCACAGTCCATGATGCACCCCAGAATGCGGGGTGCAGAGACGGTCAAAATGCATGCAATATCTGTCGGCAATTGAAGTTACCCAATACAACCATCCAAGTCGGGCCGGCTTGCATCATTTCTTTGCCGATTTGCTTCCGAGCCCCCCCCCCAATTCCCGACACCCCCACGCTAAACCGCTTTTGGTCCCCAAACTCCACCGATACAATTTACCATACACTCTTCCCACCCTGATACATCATTGGCCCACAATCTCAATGCCAATTTCAAAACTAACCCAACAACAGATGCCCGCCGCTACTTCAAACAGTCTGAAATTGCGCTCTACCGCCAAGCCCCCGAGATCGCCCCGAACGCCCAGATCGCACAACAGCAGCAGATCCAGCAGCAGATGCTCCTCGAGCAACAGCGCCAGCAGCCCGCTCTCCCACCGGGCTCTGCTACCGCTGGACCCGGCAGAGAAGTCACCGCGCCGCTTCGGCAGGACCCTCAGCCTGTTCCCGCGCCAGCAGCATAGACTCTCATTCTATTCTCGTTATCGCTCGTGTGTTTCTTACAGCCTCTTGGTACCTGCGGATCTGTTCTTCTATACCCGCCTCTTGTCTCCGACCTCGATTTCCCCTACTCCTCTATTACTCATTATTCCTTTTGTGTATGTTCATCCTGTCTCACGGCTATGTCACGATATCACTCTGTAGTATACCTTACTCTGCCTACATTCGTGCCAAGTCTTATTTCAAATCGAACCTCATCTTAGATTCAGATTGTAGAATGTCTCCCTCTCTGATGTATTGTCTGGAAGAATCTTCATTCTGAAGTATAAAGTAAAACAATTCATTGATCGCCATAGTACATAGTACACACGCAGCCGGTATCATACTTCATCCACAACCAAGCTCTAGCTCTAATACTCAAACCGACCAATTTCCTGCAACACCTTCCCCAGCGCCTGGAGAATCTGCCCATCATCACGCTCTTTACCAGCGACCTGGACAGCGCGCACAACCAACGGATAAATCCACTCAAGGTGTTTCCGATAGTGGTGCTCCTCCGCATCCCCACCCTCAACAACCGAGACGGTCTTCAGCGAAGGCGGATCCGGGATAGCCGACGGCTCACTCTTCAGCTCGACCATGCGGACGAGCAGATGGAGCAGGGCCTTGCGGGCAGGCGTGGGCTGGGGCATCAAGCCGCGCAGCGGCTGGTCTGCGATATAAGACTTGAGCGAGACCGCGCAGCGCAGGAGGAGGTAGGGCGAGATCGAGCGTGCGAGCAGAGTCTGCGGGGACGGTTCGTCGGGTTTTGTCTCCGTCTTGGCTTGCGAGCGTGCGGCGAGCTCGAAGAGCGTGTCTATAAGGACGTAGGCTATTCCCGGGCGCAGGGTTGGTGGTGGGTTGAAGGTACGGCCGGGACGTACGGTGTAGAAGTCCTGTAGAGGTGCGTCTTCGAGGCCGGTGGCGGGGAGGTCGAAGCGGAGGGGGGCATAGATGAAGGAGGAGTTGAAGAGAGCGCGGGCGAAGTCGCGGCGAACGGTGTCTGGGATTGCTGCTGCTCCGAGAGATGGGAGGATGAGAGTCTTCAGGCGGGTGAAGGCTTTGGTGTCGAATGCTTCGTCTGCGGTGATTCGGGCGTTGGGGGGTTGTTGGGATTGCGGGCCGCGGGCAGAAACAATTCCATTTGTGATGTCGACGATGCGTTGCCAGAACTGGGATGTTTCGGACTCGTTTGTCTTCGTGTATTGCTTTTCCACGTAGGGGACCGCGACTTGGATAACGTTCAGGGATACTGTTGTGGCCTTTTGCCATAGGAACGGCTCGCGGTCCTTCCCTTGCCATGTGTATTTTTGCGCAACTAGAGCACTGAGGTGTTCGAGGGATTTTGCAAGAGCACCATTAGTGAAGACGTCTTGCTTGATGCCGAATTCGGCAATGTACCAGCTGACAAGATCGATGGCGCGTTTCGAAAAGGCCACGAACGCTGGCCTTCGAGTGTCGCTGCCGGGGCTCCATTTTGATAGTGCTGAATCAGATAGTCCGGCAAGACACGAGAGAATATCCGGCTGGGAGTCCTCTTTCTCCAGGCAGAGCGTCTTGATACAATCAATGACTAGCGCTTGCAGGGCCGAGGGTCGGTCGATATCTGGAGAGTATCGCGGGGAGACCGAGTTCCACACAAGCAAGCTGAGGTGATGAAGGACCTTTTCGATGTGTCTCGTGGTCAGCTGGTCTTTGTAAAGACGATAGACCTGTTGGAATGTATGTAGATAAGCCAAA